ATATCTAGCACAATCGCTTTTAATGAACCATATCGTTAATTTAACGTTAATTGAAATTTTCTAAAGCAAGCGTAGAAGCAAATATATTTGAAAGCTCTTCATAGGAAAGTGAAACGAAAGAGCTGTGCGCTAGCTGCAAACAATCGACTGGTTTGGGTAAGTACTTTTTATGATTTTTGATCATTCAAATGATCATTCGTTCCAAAAGCGATTGCATTAATCACTTCGGCGATCGCTATACTTTTAATGAGGATTGCGATTCATTTTAAATCAGGGAAAGGTCCCTTATTTAGTTAAGCAGGTAAGCAGCTAATTTTAAAATAAAACTGAAGGCAGAGTAATATAATAATGTTCCATGTAAGTAAAAAACCCCACATTTATATTCATGAAAATCAAGCATTCAAAATAATTGAATATTTTTCAGACTTTTTAGTTAGCCTTAACCAACTTTAATTTTTTCGTTTATTTTGGATATGTTCTTTCGATTAATGCTCATTTTTTATTAATGACAGATGAGGGGAATTGTTGAAAAGAAATATCGTATACAGATCATTATTTTACAATGACTGCCCATGATTTAACTAGGCAACCTGGTACTTAATTTGTTAATCTACATTTACATGTAAAATTTGTCATATAAAATTTGTCTCAATCGAATAAGAGATGAATGTTATTTTTTTCTTAATGTTATCTTAAACTATAAACTAAAGCCGAGACTTCAGCTTGATTAATAGTAGTCAGAGGATGTTACTGCAATACTATTCTGTTACAAACGCAGCAGCAAAAGATAGTGATAGCTTTTAGTTTTAATATCAATGGTATCGATATTGCAGTTCACAGAGCTACACGTCAGGTTACCACATTACATCAAATTCCAACAGTTGAATTTTCAACTCTACTCTCAAAGCATTAAGGTATAAAATTGTATTGTAGTCCTATATGAACGTTTGACAGCTAAGAACAGTTTGATGGGAAAATCAAATTGTCGTTTTTAGTATTATACTCTCAATTTTGTCATATTTTTTCATCGTTTAAACCTTCCTAGGACTTCCACGAATATTTCAAGACTAAAATGTGTTAAACTGGTTCAGCCGTTCTCGAGTTTTAACGAGACCAACGAACGGAAATTCAATTTTATTTATATATAGATAAAACATGTATAGATAAATAGATACTAAGTAATATGTAAAGAAAACACAACATTAATATTATTATAATCTTTTTATTAACAATAAAATGAATCGTGTGCGATACATAATCGAATTTCCAATTTAAGAATGCACAAGCCTTTTACTGCATAACACTACCGAACAATTCTTGAGTTCATACAATAAATTCTGTGTCGTCAAACGGACCGCTCCACATGAATATCATCAAACAAATTACTTATAATAATTATAATTACCAAAAATTATCGCATTTTTTCAGATATTATTTGTCGCTCGCCGATATTTATTGTGTTTAAATTGCCATCCGTTTTCAAGTAAATTATATCTTTAGTGTTTTTTGTAAATTATCTTCCTATTTCTCATGAAATTAAAAACGTAAAATTCAAGATATCGCTGTATTTTGTCAGCCATTTTCTCTTCATTCTCTGCAAATGTTTATTGCATAATCGTAATGGAATCATGCATTTTCAAAATCACAATTACAGTCTCACTACTGATTAACAGCGAAGTATTAACACATTGTCACCTCCATTCGTTTCAAGTGGAAACTCAACTTGAACATTTTAATAATGCGTCGTTTGCAGCCAGACGAACTCCTACCTGGAGATAGTTTTCAATTGATACAGCCGAGGAGACAAGCTTATAAAGTTGGAAAAGTTTAATGAGTTTCCTAGAACGTTAGCACGATCCAAGTTTCGGTTTCGGTTTTGGTGAGCATCGTTTGTATCAAGTTCAATCATTTGTTTATCGCTTCGATGGCTTCGTTCGACACAATTAAGAAAATATTTAAATGTCATTGTTTTATGTCAACGCTTTTAATTCAGAATTCCATTTCCAAATAAAGTGGGACAACGAGAAGCAAAGAGTATATAACAACGTTTGAAAACAAAAAAAAAACAAATATCGAATACCATTTCAGTCTCCTAAAAGGCGGGAAGAAGGAAATCTATAATTTCTAAATTTAAAATTCTGATCATGAAGTTCCAATTTAAAACTATGCTAAGCATTGTATAATGTACTTTTTTAATGCATTGTAAAATATCTTCAATTCCACTTTACTAGAGACTTGGAAACGGATGTCAATTTTATGATACATTGATTCTTGAATGCTATTATGTTCAGTAGTAATGACTACGTAATTATAACCATAAAAAGCACTTCAGTTTTCGTTTAGTATTTTGTAATCAATTAATGTATCTCTCTTACCATTTTTATAATCGAGAAATATGTAAGAAGAAAAATTTATGGAATATAATAACAATAAATAAATATTTTATTTACAGTTAAAATTTTTATCGCCTATCTATTTATACCATTGGGCGTTTAGGAAAATTATTTTCTATTACATATATTATACAGAGGAAGACCAGAAAGGAAAACCTCTAAAATTCCGTTGTAATTTTGATAAACATGCTGATTATACAAGGTCAGAATACAATTCCACATAGTTTATTACTGTAATCATATTTGAAAACAATAATACATACATTTAACTCAACAATATATATACATACAATTATGTAGTATTTTAAAATGGATAAAACCCTCACAAAGATCCGTCATACTCTTATATCTTGATACAACAAAAACATTCTGGTTACATTCTGCTCTCAAAACATATCGCTTCAATGAAAACAGCTTACAAACACGATTTTTATAGATATTAGAATAACTATTTACAATTCTCTTACTGCTGATTACTATTCGGACCCTCACTATGAAATTGTCGATTGTTAAAATGAGTTACTTGACTAACCTAATATATTATCTCTGGAGTCCATCCGTCTTATTCCAAAATTAATATGATTAAAATATTTATTCAAACCACAGAACGAATCTAACGACCAACAAAGTGTGAACTGCTGAAAAGTGATTCGAACTCATTGATTTGTTTTCTTTTGCCATAAAAAAGGAATGCGTTCTATTTTTGAAAATATGTTGCGTCATAATCTTAAAACTATCAATCCGAAGAGAATTTAAACACATTTGACATAAACCATAATATAATGAGGTAATTATTGCAAGTAGTAGAATGGATCTACTACTGTCTCGAACACAAAAACCGACTTTTTTGTGCTTAGCTTCAGTAAGCAACATAGTCAATTTAAAAATAATGAGTATAAACAAAATTCATATAGATAATTATACGTATTGGTATACTTGATAATAATCACTACGAAAATAAGATGTCAAGGATTGCAAAAGAAAATACACTAGATATGAAGCAAAATTGACCATCCCATAGGATCTTTTACTGGAACTGGAACCTTTCTATTATTCACTGCATCACTTTCCTCAGACTGATTTACATATTTTTTTGGAATTCGAATGACTTTTTGTAGGGGAAGAATTTTAAATGCGACGAAAACGGACTGAAACCCCCTTGGAGAGTTTACTCGTTTAGCTTCCAGAATTTCAGCTGTGCCATTAAACTTTCATACTTCACTTCAATAAGAATTGGCACGGCAATTTTATAGATAAAGGACCTAATATTAATTACTCTGTTTTCACATTTTTGGTACCATTTAAGAACATTTTTGAAAAAAAAAAACGTTGATTCAACAATATAATTATTTAATGTAGTTTACATAGATACTACATCTTATTAAATAAATCAAGGTAATTAGAAAGAATATTAGGTACAAAACTTTCTTTGTCATCGCTAATATCTTTACATTAAAACACTTCGTTTTATCTACTTAAATCTTATTTGGCAGTAGTGATTTTAATTTACCAACACTGACTTCAATATCAGTTTTAAGCTACATCTCTTAATACATAGATAATAATCCATTTTATATAACAAATTACAACTTGCTATGGTCGATTTACATTATTATTATAATGGGCAGAACTGCTTCGGAATTAAATATTTCATGAATATACTAGATTAAGATACCAAAGTTATTGATGATAATGAAAGTACTAGATATTAGATAGTCGATAACTAAAGGTAATGTTACAATTAAAATATTTGATTAAGTCTTCCAGGATTTTATTATAATTAAAGCTCAAATTTTAATGGATAAGGAAATATCCATATATCGATTTATTAAGAGTGAACTCAAATTCTTATCAATAACACGTACGCTTTGGCCCTTCATTTGGCACATAGTTATTTCACGACACGGCAAACTTTATACACAAACTTCCCAACACGAGTGAAATATTTCGCCATTAAATAACATCAGCAAAAACAGGAAAAAACAATATATTATAATAATAAAGTTTTACCTCTTATGGTAACTGAATGAGGTCAGTTATAATTGATGGATAAATATTTTGGACAAAATCAAAGAGAAAATACACTGGACGAAATTCTTTTTACTAAAAATGACGCTTAAAATCATTCAGAGTACTTTTTTGATGATTTTGTCGATAAACAAATTAGTCAAAACAACATTTGTCCTGCAGGACAGACGCCCAACTTAACATCAAAAAGAGCAATATGGGCATCAATGACCCATCCGCACACTCATTCGTCACTTCTCGATGTATCCAAAAAGTTTAATTAAGATAATATTGTCTCGGCAAAATCTCACTCCACGGCACTCGACATTATTAGCGAGTCGTATATACTACGTATATATAAATTTGATAAAGTTAATTCGTATTTTAATATACCATTATTAATATTTACTCACCATAAAAACACTAAGTCTTCTGAAGTTCACTGTCACTTGAACGTCACGGGGTATGCTAAGAGGGGTTGGCGAAGACGTCGAGGGCTCAGGGCGGTAACACATAGAGTTTATGGATTTAATAGACGGCAGAGGATTGCAGCACCGGGATGGGCGGCAGAGGGCGCGGGGGCGCGGGGGAGGCGCGCTGTTAAATAATGCTCTCACGGTTTCGCTCATTCTCCTCCTGAGAGCTGAGCGAGCTGCCGCCGCAGATCTGCATCTCGATCTCTTGCAACCTTTTGAAAATATAAGAATAATTTGATATTGCATTATATTTTAACATAACATTGTAAAAAATTAAATAGTTTTTATTTTTTTTACCTTGGTAAAGATTACAAAAACAGTCACTAGAATTTGAAGATACTCCAATACAGAAGTTATAAAAGCTTTCAAATGATATATTATTGTTATTATTTTTGTGCAGACAATAATAGGTATTGATACCAACCTCTGGTCTACTTCCCATTGTTGCTGGCTGAGTTTGGCAGACATGGCAGCGTTTTCCGTCTCGACAGTGTATAATCGCTCTCGGAGTCTTTTGATTTCACATTCGAGCGCGTCATGCGAATCTAGCAAGACTCTAGGCGCCATACTGCTGGCTGCTACGCTACCACCGCCAGCGGCACTACTTCTTACACTTGAAGCACACGATGCTACAGGAGATGCTACACGAAGAGGACTTACTGACGAACTGTGGATTACATTGTGTAGATAAATTTAATTTTTGTGCAAATGTAATTCAGGAGAATCTGAAGTAATGTATGACCTATCTAAAATTCTATCACGTTATGATTATAATATAATCATAACGTGATAGAATTTTCATATTAAAACAAACCTATAAAGCTGGTCCCGGTAGGAAGGCGGATGTGAGGGGTGCATTGGCGGCACTGCCGGCGTAGGTGGTAATTGCATCTCCTCAATGGGCACTCGACCGCTCGTCTCCACAAGCCCAGGCGTTGATTGACAGCGGCCCATCGCCACTGTGAATATGCTCATGTATAATTAAACTTAATAAATATATATGCTGTAAATATTTTTTCTCCCTATTTTTGATAAGTGCTTAAATGAATTTTAAATGAGTTGTTTCAATTATTTTTTTGTTATTTCTTGTAAGATGTTATTGCTGTTCTAAATAAAATTAAAACTATTGCTTGCAAAATCTCCCTGTACTTAAATTGTGAAAAATACAATAATTTTATTGGAAAAATATACCGCATTATTCTTAGAAATAAATTAGTTAACTGCATCGTTTATAGAGCGTAAATAATTAAGCGTTTAGTACAAGAGTCTAGCAGGAAAAAAATCCTAAGCATTCTAATTTGTTATATCGGAGACCGCACGTGATATTCTAACTTATCGAATTGTTGTAAGATTTCATATATTCTTCCTATATCGATAAAATTTTAATTTATCAAAATAAAAATAAAAGACTAAAGAAATCTAGGTTAATGAAACTATAAAAGTTTCTACTGAGAGACTATTGCAAAACTGCTGGCCTCATTTAAAATACTTAAAACTCTTTATCTTGATTAGATTCACTGCTCCTGAACCGGCAATTTAAATAAGATCTCATGGCCTGAACATCAACTACTGTAAGTTAATTTTATGTCCTATTTAAAGTACCTTTTTCGAGTGGCGCTTTCTTATACTTCTCAAGTCTCTTTACTGCTATGGCTTCTAGACGAACTCTTGCAGCTGGGTACTCCTTCAGCACGTCCCACATGTCTTTCTTGCTGAGCACGAACAAATCCGAGTAGCCGACGGACCGCACTGATGCTGTCCGCCGGTTTCCTGTCAACGTGTCACACACACACTCCGTGCCAACCGGTGCTCGGTCCAAAATTCTTACGAACTGTTCTGGCTAATATACCTTACCTACATGTTACCTCACAGCGCAATATACATTAAGTCAAAAACTTCCTCAGCGTCGTTTATATGAATTTAGTAAGCCAAAACAGCTCGTAAGAGCAGAGGAAAGGAAGACCGACAGCACCGGTGGTAGGATTACAAAACAGGTTAACTTGTCACAAGATAAATGGGTATAAAATTAAGCTGATATAAGAAATATTTATTTTAAAAACTACCTTATTAGACAGCGGGTTGGATTAGATCAAAGAGTTATGTCAGTTCAAAAAATAATATACAATCCCAAAACAATTATAAGAAGCAATTCTATCGAGTTCTGAAAAAAGTGCTTTATACAGACAAAGCATTCAGAGCAGGTAGGTATAGAAAAATTCAAAATATTCTTATTATTTTAAAGAACTAAGCAGTTCTACAAGTATGCGTAAAAGTTAGACTCGTAAATGAAAATATTATTGTGGAACTCAACTGATACAACGACGGAAGATTTCCATTAGTACACTTAACAATAGGGGGGGTTCATGCACCAAGAGGTCACGCCAAATATAATAATGAGGTACTTGGGGAGGATGCAAAGCGATCGGGGACACTGCCTTCAATACAACCAAAGGAGAACATAAATATGGTACAAAACACCATGTCGCAAGTCACTACTTAATCTGAAAGAAGACTAATAATAAGCCAATTAAATGTTAATGTAAATAAAATGAACATTGCAGCTTACCGCATAGAATTGTCACTTCTTTGTTGTGTATAAGAAAGAAAAATATAAGAAAATGTCAAATGAAATAATCAAAATAATGCTCTAATTGACAAAAAGATTAAATTGAATAATAAAACTAATATAGAATTTAATTAAGCGTCTTCTAATTAAAGTATTGCCGTTACCGAAAGTCGATGGCCTATATTTATAGAATGATAGATAATATATAATAAGTGACTTAATATTTATAATATTTGGTCAAGGGCAAACAGTAACAGCTGTGGATGATGTCCCAAAACCTGTTGCCAGCTTCGTGGCCGCTCCCTCGGCCTGATTGCAGCGTCTCCTCGAATTTGCTTTTGAAAACTTTACAATAAAATAAAAGAGTAATAATGGCGTGGCGTCTCGGGCCGAGGCGATATTTACCAAGTTGTTTACCTGCCGTGCCCATGTTCAGAATGGAAATTTCGCCAAAATAAGAACCAGCCTTGAGTGTTGCCAGGACTGTCTTCCCGTTGTCGCCTACCACCTGAAGTTTCCCTCGATTCACTATGTACATCTCCTTGCCAACTTCACCTAAAGGCAACGTTTTTATCTATACTAGTATCATAAATAAAAATAAATGGATTGTTTGTTTGCTTCAAAACTATGGAACTGAATTAAAAAATTCGTCACCAACAAGACGAATTAATTACGTTTATTAAAACAAGGCTGATTATACATTTAAATCACACGTTCAGGTACAGACGAAGGTTTTGCTGTGATTGTCAAGCAAAAGGTTGAAAGCTAAATATTGGTTACCTTTTCTACAGATGTAATCTCCAGGTGAAAACAACACCGGTCTCAGCCTCAACACTAGCTCGCAGAGAAAGCCCGCTTCTGTATTTTGAAAGATTTCCACCCTAAACAAAGAAAATATGACTGTATAGCATAAAAACTTTAAAATCATATCACATGATCCAAGATATACCTGACAAATGGAGAAAAAATTATCTGACTGGTGCACAAGCCATGGCAAACGCAAGTGAACGTCAACAAAATATGACTGGAGGATTAACCCACAACTGAATAAAGGGAACGTAATTACGACATATATTAAGACTTATACATTGAAAAATGTTAATTATAAGATTAACCAATTCTTCACGGGGTTAATGATACCTTCATACTATGCATTTTTTTTTCTAAAAAACAATCAGTGAAAGACTGAAGCATCAGTTGCATCATGATTACATTTATTTTTATCCAGGGACGGAAGATTTTTTAATCACATACACAACATATTAAACTATCATTTAATGCTTATTTAAATATTGTCCTAATAATAGAAACCTAATCAAAAATATAAAAAGTATACAGTCGAATCGGCAATTCGCCAACAAATAAAAATAATCTTTTAATGACATTTAGACCTATAAAAACAAGGAGTATCTATTTCACTTGGCAATATCGAATACCGATACTGTTATAGCCACTTATCTTCCATTTTTATGTGACTCCAGTTTCCCTTAAAATGGCGTATAAATATTACGCCATTGTCTTTTAGTCCTAAGTATATTGTGTAACTTTCTTAGAAATGCTACGGTATACTTAAAATTAGCCTTTGTAAGTTAACCATTAAACAGGTCTATGTATTATTGTGTAAATGTAGAACAATGGTTCAGCTAAAACTGAAATATGAATTTTAACAATTAGAATCAACAAAAAGTCACGAAGATGACTCGATCTTTGATAAGGTTCTGCAACTCAAAAGTCCGCGCATTTATCACAGTTGACTTTCTTCGACTGACACCGTTGAATATTGATGTACACATGTTGAATCATATTGGCAAAGTTTGTATAATGGGTAAATGTCCACATAGCTAGTCATGTGTGCCGTTCAGTATCTCTTTAGATAAAAGATGTGATGCTTGAGTACCAAAATAATTTACAAATCTGACCCACATTTTTTATGTTGTCTTTTCATTTTCCAGAGATTTAAACAGAATATCGCACTCCTGACCTACATGAATAAAAATGAATGTTCATTGTGTCTGCACAAATGGACGGTAGGCAATATATTTTGTGGCATATCAAAGTAATTATTATTAGAATCTATACTATATATAATATTATAAGTGCGAAAGTAACTCTGTCTGTCTGTTACTTAATCACGCCTAAACCACTGAACCAAATTGCATGAAACTTGGTATGGAGATATTTTAATACCCAAGAAAGGACATAGGCTACTTTTTACCGCGGGAAAATGACGTATTCCTACGGGAAAATAATCTAAATATAGATAACTCAAAGGTGATTGACTGACATAGTGATCTATCAACGCACAGCCCAAACCACTGGACGGATCGGGCTGAAATTTGGCATACAGGTAGATGTTATGACGTAGGCATCCGCCAAGAAAGGATTTTGATCAATTTATCCCCAAGGGGATAAAATAGGGGATGAAATTTTATATCAAAACTGTCAATTTTAAACCAATCGGGCTGAGATTTTGTATAAATAAAGCTACTATGACGTAGGCATTTTCTAAAAAATTCCACCCCCAAGGAGAAATAATAGGGTATGAAAGTTTGTATGAAACTTTGTCAATTTTAAGGGCTGAGACTTTGCATGCATAAATCTACTATGACGTAAGCATCCCCTAAGAAAGGATTTTGATAAATTCCACCCCTAAAGGCATAAGCTAAGAGGATAAGACTTTTTTCAGGTATTTTACACGATATAATGAATAAATATTCGTTAGAAATGCTGCTCAAAGTAACTTTACCACGCGGACGAAGTCGCGGGCAAAAGCTAGTCTTAAATTTTTTTCGGGATCTCCGAAACCACTGCCCCATTAAAGTTTTGGAAGAAATAAAGAAAATAGTTATTTACCTACAGATCAGATATAAAAATTTATTAGAAATCAATGGCTTTAAAATATAATATTCGTGCGAAACCCTTGATTCGCAATTCAGACACGCTCTTATTTTAGTTTTAATTAGCACTTATTTTAAACGACTTAGGTACTTAAGTAATTATTATGATTAGTATAGCATTCATTGTGTACTTGATTCAGCGAAAAACAGCAAAGCCCCTGAAGAATAGTAGACAACAAAAATTTACGGATCGTATAAACAAATGCTTTTGCATAATTCATGGAAGTGAACAGTGAATATTTCTCTTTTTAATTATACAACACGGGGTATTAAGCTTCAACTGCGAACGTCGTATAATTTGACGGGTACCGCCAAGCCGACGACTTTATTATGATGTTTACTTTAAGTGAAACTAACGACAAAATGAGATCTAGAAAAGTGTTGACATATGATACCCGGAGATTTCCGGAATATGAAATTTTGACTCTTTGACTATGCACCCACGCTAGAATTTTGTCTATGGTTTTAAAATTATATTAGTGATTCCAATTTTAAACATTTGACATAATTTTTATATCATACAAAACCTTATAAAGTTTATTGCAGTTCATATCTGTTGGAAAATGCTTTAGCTATTATTTTGAAGTAAATTTCTTCGAGTATCGGGTTGGATCATAGACAGGCCCGAACCTAAATACATATAATGGTAAAACCACATTTCGGGCAAAAGTTAGTTGAAATTATTTTTTTCCGTTTTCCGTCAACCTGAAGTTTGGTTTAGGCTCATCCAACACTAGATAAAACACTTTAAAAAATCACCCATCAAACATCACCCTTTGTAGTCAAGTGGCACACCAAAAAAATGTTGTCATCTCAGATAGTGCCGGGGTTCTAGTTCTCAAACAAATTCAAGTTAAAACCAATGTAGTCAATGAATTTTACTATTATATCGGCTCTGGGTATTACGATACTCTTGCCCCTTCAAGCGATAAGGATAGAGCAGATAATCCCTTTGTTATTTGAAATTCCCATAATACAAGGTCATGAGCTTAGTTTCCTATTTCAGCAATATATGTACGTGATATTATCCAGAATTAATATATAAACTTTTATAAACCATTCATTGAAATTGTAGGCGAACTAAGGAAATGAGCAATAAAGAAGAGTATTCGTTTCAAGAGAGCAACTTCATAATGTCTCGTATAGTGCCTCATATGCGATAGAGTGCTAATAAAGAGATCGTGAACCTTTGTGAAGCTGGAGTTTATTGCAAGTCTCATGTTACAGAGGCGTTGCACAATGCAAGAAAGTTCACTTTAGGTAACACACAAATTTTATATGAATATTATGCTCATGTGTGTATCAGTCGTCCTTGAATAGAATCGACACATCGAGTATGCATTATGTATTATTATAATATTCTGTGAAATACGTATCGACCTCTATGTACTTGTAAAGTTATCGATTTGTAAGTGATAAATAATTATCAATTTTAAAACGAATTGCTTAATAAATTATAGTCGCACATTTAGTCGCAAATTTTTTTTTGTGTGAATGTATTAATAAGCCATAATTTTCGATGTTTAACTTTTCTTAAATAAATTTTACCTTTAAATCAGTGTAAGGTGTAACTGATAATCGATATTTAAGAATAGTTAAGCTTAAATTGAAGTTTATTTTTGTAACAGTTTGTATTTTACCTTCTTGTATAACTATTTTAGTATAAACAGTAATTTCACAACTTTTATAAAAAAATGTTCTGAATATTGCAAAGTTAAAAAATACAATATTGTTAGTTTTTCTAAACCTGTATTGTTTTCTGTTGATATTTTTTTCAATGTATAAATATAACCATCAATGTTTGACAAATAAACACACTATACACACATGGTTTTGTCATAGAACTATTACGTCGAACATTGTGAGTTAGCTTTACCATTTGAAATACTTCTTTTCGTCATATTTTTCCACAGAAATAATACAGCACAACCACTCAGAGAGTGACAAACACAACAAAAACACTAAGATTCCTCTCTTCTATTGTATGCCAAGCGAATAATTCCAAGCGGCAAAGGGAGTGGCGATTGTCTGCCCTCATTAAAGGGTAAATTGCGTTCAGATAAGCCTCTGTGACAACATGACCCCCGTCATTTCTTCTTAATGTATAGTAGCTTCATGTATGACACCAATTACGAATTTGTTTATAAATTATTGCTCCCCAAATTAATGTCTACGCTCAATTAACTTTGGATAATATTAGGTTTTAAACGAAATGTTAACAATATTGTAATAGAGTTATGAAAGGTCATGTTGCGTCAGTAACATTAAAACCTATTTATTAGTTTATAACGCAAATGTTTTCAAAATAATTAATATAGACGACGTGGTTGACTTCGGGTTTTTACTCGCTTTGGGCTCTTAACCTTAACAACAAATAGTTTGAACTACAGTTGGAATGTATTTATATTATTACAAATAGTTGGAACTATTTGGAATACGCTTCGGTTTCAAAAATATTTCTTAGAAATAATTAAATATTTAAACTGTGATTTTTTGATGTTTAAATAATATATAAGATCTTTGTCCTTAACTTACCTACTTATGGACAGACAATACACGTTCTAAAGAGCTAATTGTACAGACTTGAAATGGATGCGCTTCACTTGTTAAAGCATTTTTTTAAATAATTTCATACCAATAACGTTATTATTATATAAAGAACATTAATCAGTTAACATAATATTCAAAATAGGCGTTTTGAAAACAATTCATAAAACACTTAATTTTTATAACGTTCATGTCTTAATTTTTGTTAATATAACCATCATTCTTGTATAACCCAAATAATTTATTTTTTTTTCTCATAAAGTTCAATTATTATAAATTACAAGTAAGAAATAATATATAATTCATTTAATATATATTTAATCTTTTGAGATTTAATTTTTATATGAAGTGACTACTATAAGAAGTCAATATTGTATTTAAATTGTAAATTGATTTTATACATATTCTTAATGAATAATGCTTAAAAAATCAACTTGTTTCCTGGCACCCTGAGATGAGATTAAAACCCATGACTGCGTGAATGTGAAATTGACATACAAAATAATTTTGTACTAAATGTTGCTATATAATGCGGGTTTAGATTTAATGAGTGTTACATGCTTAAAATATTATACTTAAGTTTTATGTAAAATAATTTTTATATCAGAGAAAATTATATTAATTGAAGGGTATTTCTTTAAATATTATGTTTTCCTTTTACTATATGAAATGATCGATTTATAAAACAAAATTATGCTATTCGAAGATATAGGTTGTAAATTTTATATATATTATTAGTATGCCATGTGTAACACACCTCTTGAAATTTGGAGGGTACGTTTGTCTTATTACCCAGGGTTAAAATGGTGAAAATATTTTTGTATGAAACTTTGTTTTTGGACCCATACAAATGATATTTTACATTCGATTTACAGTACTAGAACTACCTATGACTTTCAATGTGTGTTCCGCTTCATTTCACTGTGTATTAACTATTGTATTAAAAAGCTGAAATGGCAAACGAATCGTCAAAAAGAAAAAAAAAAGTATATATATAAAAGTAGTTCTATAATCCCATATTGCCAATGCAAGTGATAGTCCAGTTAGTTCGTCAGATTAACTTTAATGCTTTCAAATCTGTGGAACTTCTTCGGTACAAGCTTACGCACGATTTTGTCATGGCATTTACGACTTAGACATTTTTATCAAGGCGTCACCATCCTTATCAGGATGGAATACATGAAATTCCTGGAATATTGGAGGAATATCTGAATTATACAGATTGTCGGAAACAGATATATCATTGACTTTAAAAATGTAAATACTTTTATACCTCTTCAACGTGTCCAGATGGACGTTGATTGCGATTTCTGCTTTCAGCTTGTCAGGAAGACACGAGACAGCCTTCTCTTCATCTGAGCACTTCTGCGTTAACCAAAGATAGTCGAACCATTTGATGACCTTCACTTGGAGATGGGTCGGCACCCGGCGCATCCGCATGTATGTCTTCACGCCGTCCAACTTGGCTGTTAACAAAAAGAAGCATAAATTAGTATTAGTATATCTTCCTACTGTCTCTTATGTGGGTAAGATTTGCGTAGTGGTTGTCTGCAAAGCTGGTACTTTAAATTAAAAACACCGGAGCGCCGACTATTCCCCTCAAGACAGGGACACGGGAAGTAACGCCTAAATTTGCTTAATTATTTACCAATATATTTCACATTTCGCTTATTTATTTTATTCGCCTTTCGCTAATTTCATTTCATGGCTTCTAATCTCACCCTCCGTTCATCTAAAGCCCTGTTCAGACATAGGTCTTCCATAACCACACAGAAAGCACAGGCTAAATCTGCGCTATCATAATCTCAACTATCTATCTGGTAACTATTACCCAGCAATGGCCAGTGCAGATTAATAAGTAATTTCAGCAACAGATTTAGCCGGAACAATGGTTTAACATTCTAAAGAATAGAGTAGCTTGAAATGTTAAATTTCTGGTCACTCATACGATAACCAGCCCTTTCTTGCTTAAGTTGTTATCTTTCGCACTTACAAATCAAATGCGCAAACCACAATCTTAGAGATTTTACGAGATTAATATGATCAAAAGATACGTAATAATAGTAATAGATAATAGTGGCCTTCGCCAGTTTCTGCAGTATCTGAAAAAATGAAGGTCACTACACCCAGACCTGAGACAGCACTGAAAAGTTCGATTTTTAGATAACCCCAGCCAGGAAACTACAGGACTACAGAAATGGCAATGTCTTGAAACCAGCCTACGAGCACTCGACTACGTAGGTCGTAATTGCATTGCAATGTTAGAGTTAATATTAACTCTGGACAAAGGAATAAACAAGATGTGAGAGCAGATGTTACGTCGTCCAGTCTATATTTTTAAATAAATATTTTCCTTCCGCTCTGTGTTACTTTCTTATAATATTTGTCATGTTAAAACTGAAATACAAAACGAGGCTAAATAGTAAAATTCACCATCTGTTTCCCATAGCAACGTACTCACGGCTTACTTAATTAGGGAACATTGCTTAAATAAACTGGTATATGTACAAGAGTAATTTTTTTCGACGTTAAAGATTTGTCAATTTACATTAATGTACCGTTGACTTTGAATTAAAATAATCTCAAGTTAACCAGTTGCATGTATCATAGCTATGTATAACCGAAGTCTCTCGAAATTACAACAATACTACCTATTTACCGTTACTATAATTTGCAACATTTATTATGATAAACGCATTAAGCGTTAGCAGAAAAATTATTTCATCTTTTCTGCATTTACAATGTTATAATGGAAAATATGCTTAGTGAAAAATGAATTTAAAATCCCTGGTACCCATTTTCAGTAACCTAGAATAAGGCATAGTTTAACTAGAAAACGCCTAATATTAAGAATTCTCTAAGCAAATTAGTTTAATTACAAATAAAAAAAAATTCTTTAATCTCATGACATATTTCTGACCTGTCATATACGCAAACGCCTAGCGAAAGGCGCCGCATAACGAATGTCATAACTTTAGATATTACTTAATTTCGTTAGGTAATTCCTAGTTAATAATGTAATGCATTTTTATCATAGGTGATTCTTAAAAAATTTGGTGACAGATTTGGGCAACCCCTAAGTTTAGTGAAAACGGGATTGAAAGTACATTACATCTGACATTACCAAGGATATAGTAAATTATTTAAGCATTTTTAATTTATAATATATACCATGATATTGACATTCTAAATATTCTGTTACTATGTACTATAGTACTGTGCTATTCTATTATAAAAACAGACTCGAACTCGTCGAACGTTGTCATAGCATAAAATTTTAATTAAATAAAACCTTATTTAAAAGATAATAAAGGTTTTATTTCCTTAAATCTTTATGATGTAAAGGCGTTGCAGTTGACTTCTCATAGCATAGCTAACTAATAAATAATTTATTTTTGTACTTTTTGAAGTGCTTAATAATGATAACTAAGTAGAATGAAAGTAACAGAAAATAACAAATTCCCTATTAAAAATTACGTTGCGTAGTAATTTTTAATAGGGAATTTACACACACTTCCGTCATCTTTTCCCTTGACACCATCCCTCGCCGAACACGGGCCATATTGAATTCTTTAATAAAACGCAAAATGTGCATTGGGGGCTATTAATTTTGACACGAATAGAAAACGCCTTGGGAAGTCCCGAAACTTAGTACCTCTTATTATCTTAATATATAAATAAACTCTGAATACCTAATACCAAAAAACCATTCTAACTGTTTATATACATTCATTTTAAATGTGATATTTAATCAGCGTATTGTGAAACATTTTTAAAATCACTCAAGTAGTTTCGGAGCCTATTCGATACAAACCAACTATCAAATCTTTCCTTTTCGTAATGTTACTGTAGATTGATAAAATGTCTTGAAAGTGAACTATATTATAATTATTTATAGATAATTCAGATAGTAGCATGTTACGTCGGTCATAAACTAGAAAAGTATTCCGTGAATATAGTGAAAATACCAAATTGGTCTAAAAACTCCAGCATTTCACCAGAGTACATCAACGTTTTCATGTAAATGGAAGATTAATATTTACTGAACACTAGACTCATGTGTGTTGCTAAGATCCCTTTACTTTTATATTAAATTGCTACTATCTACCCGCCTTACCTTAGTTACCCACTGCCTTCCCGCTATCAAGGATCACGTCACCTTTTAACCGTTAAATTTACCACAGGTAATTTTGCATGACAGCTGATTGATACGTGAGCCCGGGGTGAATTCTAAAGTATATAGTATCGAGACGTGACGGAGATACTGAATGTATTACATTTAAAATGTATGAATACTGCGCCAATAGCGGTAAAGAATAAATATATATATTAAATAGAATAAAACAAAGAACCTCCTCTGCCTCTACGCTGAGATCTGTTAGACTACTCAACGGATTGTGATTCGGTTTTACGGTACAGAGTGATTTAAGAGGGAAGTATAAAAGGGAAATATTTCAGTAAGAATTTGTACTGTAGTTGTGTAACTTGTAGTGAGCTACAAAATTTGATGTTTGATGTCCAATTCATCATCTTTAGCTTATTATGTCTCAATTGTCTCAATTACTGAGCACAAGCTTTCCCTATGTAAGGAATCGAATAAGAAGAATGGGCTATGACTTACCACGCGGGCTCTGTGCGGATTTGTGGATGTTAACAATAATGCAGCCAGCACTAACAGCTTAGTGTGCCTTCCGAAGCACGATGAAATTTTCAATCACCCATCCTATGACAGGCTTTTATGAAGATTGCTTAACTTCTGCATTACAGACCGAAAGCTGTTGAACTTCTCTATATAAAATTTCATTAGCACGATGCTATGTGTATATGTCGCACCCAACTGGTTTAAACAGCCGTTCAATTATACGGCTAGCCCTTTGATTGAATCACGCCATTCAAATAAAAAAGCTAAACGTCGCTCAACTGATTATCTGACCATTAATATTCCGTGGAACGAAATTTAGCACTGTGAATACAAATTTTGATTATATAGTATAATTATTAAAGAATCTTTTTATATAACTTTAGTTCAATAAAAATTCATTTTGAGATTTAAATTATGTATTTATTAACAAAACTACAACCACAATATTTCAACGTTGATCAAATATTTCCCTGGGGATCGAGGCATTCAGATGTCATTTCAGTGCTATAAAATCAGTCATAACAGTTTCAAACGTGGAATAACAACTATGAATGCATTCAAAACTGGTAATCAAATCTAAAAAAAAAGTTTGAAATGCAGTACGTCTTATAAACTAGATCATTAGGTAGCATATTATTATTAGCAATCAATAGTTGGTACTGTATCTGTAAATGAAAACAAGAAGAGTAAGAAAAATGTCTTTAGAAAAACTTCCCATAAAAATGCACATTTGCATATCTAATTAATATTAGGGGAATCAACTGACGAGTCATAACCAACTACGCGGTCCTAGTGCAAAATGGTAGTGTTAATGATGCCGATTTAGCCAGGATGGGACGAACAACGAAGTAAGTATTATCATTTCTGATTTTTCTATATGCCGCCTTACTTACTATCTGTACCTAGATCTCCAGTTTACTGGGAAAAATATCTAAAGGTGACTTGTATAATTGTACGTGAAATAAAATAATGATATTTTTCAGCTATGGGCAGCTACGACATACGCGAATGAGGCTATAATTTACGCAAGTAAAGTCTCTGGAAAAGAGCCTTCAATACATATTTATGAACTTGTTGCTTTAACAAGTCTTGAAAACCGTAACTGGAACTCTGATCACCATACCCAAGCAAAACGTGGCCCTATAACACAAAAATGAGTCAACACTGAACCCTTCCCCAAGTTGTGTGTACAGTATTATTAGAGTGCACACATTGGGGGTAATTTAATCTTGCTCAAACATTGAACCGGCCGGTCACAACCCCGGATACGAGCAGGGTCGCCACATCCAAAAAATCGCCGTCTTTAAAACAGAATTTTTTGCGTAGTCACAAAAAAGATAGAATCTGATTCTTTATATGATCACTGTCATATCCATGCGCCACCAACATGAGTCGGTAAATTTAAGAATTTTATAAAAAAGAAAATTTTTCCGGCTTTTACCATTGCAATTTTGAACTTATTTCGATTAATGTCTGCTGGCAAATGTTAGTATTGATAACAAACAATGAGTATTTCTCTTGTTTCCTCATAAATTACAATAACCTAGCACCCAAAACCTTACCTTATTATATTTTCTTTTTATGGTGATATTTATATTTCGTTTTGGACTGTCATTAGAATATATCTTAAATAATTTATCAAATGTTGTACCTATTTTCTCAGTGCATTATACTATCTTAACAAGAAGAATTACTAATTGCTCAGAGAAATGCATCTACGCGTTCTGTGTCTGGAGTTGTCTACCAACATTTACCGTATCCCTGAGGTAAAACCTAAGAATTACCAAGTGCA